CACTCGTGTTATACTACTAAGTTTTTCTGTTCTAACACATCTTTGGCACGTTTGGTGTTGGCAGGGGTTAAGTTTAACTATCTGCCGGGTGTATCACATCAACTCACCCATATTTTGACACAAGATAGAAACCAGGCCAAGGTGTTCTCTTCCACCTATGCTCCAAGCTATTTACACAACCAAACAAGCAAACATGACATTAATACCCACAGAAGCCCAGGATTGTGGATTTCCATCCTGCCCCCTGTATACATATACCCCCCACCACACACACACACACACACACACAACTACCTCCAAATAAACATGTGTAACTCGTTGCCACATTTAATCTTTTCAGCTTTGCTTTCCCAAATCTGAGCTCCTTTTCATTCAATTGAGTATCCTCTATGCACAAGGCATTGATCTAAGTGCGGAGGATCCAAAATTGAATAGGCCTCGCCCCTCACCTGGTGGAGCCCCACACCCAGCTGGCAGTTAACTGGAGATCCTTACAGCCTCGGAGAGGGTGCAGCAGTTTATTCCTCAAGCAACTTGACAATGAGCGACCAGCACCAGAGCATGGAAGGTACAGCACGGAGAGTCCACAGCCTGCTGCTTCGGAGCATACGGCAGCCCGGTCCCAGCCCTGCCCTCTGCCTGCGTCCTCGCTATGGGCTCAGAGAACCAACAAGGAGCCACGTCCCCTCCCTGGAGGACCCCAGAGTTTAGGAACAGCCAAGTTCATTCACAAACCAATGGGGAGGGAACGGCCCCAGGACCTCCCCTGACTACTCCCTCTTTTAGTGACTCAGCCCTGTCTCCACTGTGCCGATCGCAAGCCAAGCCTCTAGGGCGTTTGGCATCTGTGGACACTACAGTCTGGCGATCTGCTTGTTCTCTTTGCTGTCTGCTAGGAAGCTCCGGCAGCAGAGGCTCAGGCTTCAGCAATTACAGCCCCTGAGGGCACACATTTCGGGGATGACCGGCTACATCTCATTTTCCTGCCATCGTTTTTATTTGTTTCTGTTTTTTTAAATGTTTTTAGTTTACTCTGACATGCTGTAAGTGAATAAATTACACCACGTGAAGGCTTACCAGCAACACGCTTTTCTTTCTCTTGGGTCAGAGAAAAAGACAATGCATTAGAGAGAGGAAGTGTGTGCACCTTGATGATCTATAGATGTGAACGGGGGCAAGGACGTGCGGATCCTGTGCACCTGACACAGGGGGACCCTCTCCAAGGAGGTCTGCCGTGCACTGAAGCCTGGGGCCAGGCCGAGTCTCCTCTTACAGCCAAGTCCCAAGGATTTTAAAGAAACATCCTTCTACAGTCACAACCTTTCATGCTTTCATTCTTAATCAAAATCCTCCCACTGTGAAGTCTGGGACAGCAGGAGTTAAATACCCAGGCCTGGCAATTGCAGTTCTAGGTACTGCTTGTGCCTATGAGTCATTGAAAAAAGGAAAACGGAAGAAAGCCATTCTCCTTCTCCATTCCTCCTCCTCCTCCCCAGCTTGCACAAATTTTAAAACAAAAAACTTGAAAGTTATAACATTATCTACAAAATTATTTACAAGAATATCACTGAACTAATAGCTCAAAATAGTCTATCAAAAAATGGGGGAACATTTTGATTTCATAGTGAGCCAGAAGTAATTTTCTTGCTAAGAAAAAAATTTTGCATTTTTTTAACATCAACTTAGTTTTCTATTACCTTATAGTTGAAGAAGCTCCAATTTCAAAGTAAAAACTGAATCTCAGGTCATAGAGATGTTGACACTCATTGTATTTGTCAGCAACATACCTTCATGTTCAGCTGTAAGATATTAAATTTCTGTGGCCAATGTGCTTTCTCCTAAAATACAAAGAACATTACAGAGAATACAGAATCCTAAGGGCAATCTAGTAGTCATTAAGGTTTTCCTAAGTCTTTAGATATTATTTCTAGCCTAAGTAAGCAGGTGAGTTTTCATGTTCAACACCTGAATCACTGGTCACTACCATAACAGCTAAGAAGCCAAGCAAGGGCAAGGCACTGAGCCTAGTGATTAAGACGCCTGTGTCCCCGGGGCACTGTGGCATAGAAGGCTAGGCCTCCGCCTGAGGCGCTGGCATCCCATATGGGTGCTGGCTCACGTCCCAGCTGTTCGTCTTCTGATCCAGATCTTTGCTATGGCCTAGGAAAGCAGTAGAAGACGTCCCAAGCCCATGGGCCCCTGCACCGGCATGGGAGACCAGGAAGGAGCTCCTGGCTTCAAACTCTCCTTCTCTGCCTCTGCCACTGTAACTCTGCTTTTAAAATAAATAACAATCATTAAAATAAGATGCTGTGTCCTCCATCAGAGTACCTGGGTTCAGTTCCTGACTCTCACATTCTACTATTGCAGATCTCGAGAGGCAGTAGTGACGGCCCGAGTAAGTGGGTTCCTGCCACCAACACGAGAAAATTGATTGAATTCCAGGCTCCTGGCTTTGGCCCAGCCCAGTACCAGCCATTGCACATATTTGGAGAGTTAATGAGTTTATGGGAATTCTCTCAAACAAATTTTTAAAAAGCCATCATTTTTAAGTGATGTTTTAAGTTTTTAAGTTGTTTTAAGTGAACCTGCAAATCTCCATCTTTTTATTTTGCAGTCGTTGCAATAAGCTGTCTCAAATCAGCTTTTTGAAGTCAGAAGCTATAGAAAAATTAATACCACCAACAGAAGGGATTCCATTCATCCAGATAATATACTACTTCATGTTTTTTTTAAGTGAGATGAACATCTTTTCCTCTGACAAGGCTACAGGGCTATACACTTGTCAGTTCTTTCTACTACAAGGGCAGGGGAAAAAACCTTTTGTTCTAACCTTTAGCTTCAGTACCTGAGCCTAAGAATTCAACTGATGAATGACAGGCTAGCTGGGTGGTACTGTGGTGTAGAAGTCTAAGCCTCTGCCTGTGGCACTGGTATCCCATAAGCATGCCTGTTCAAGTCCCAACTGCTCCACTTCCAACCCCAGCCCCTGCTAATGTGCCTGGGAAAGCAGTGGAAGGTGGCCCAAGTGTCTGGGTCCCTGCATGCACGTGGGAGACCCAGAGGAAGCTCCTGGATCCTGGCTTCAGACTAGCCCAGCTCTGGCTGCTGCAGCCATTTGGGGAGTGAACCAACAGGTGGAAGATTTCTCTTCAACTCTTCCTCTCAAATAAAAAAAATCTTAAAAAAGTGATTATCAGGATAAAGAGAATCCATGTTATGGATGTTTTTGGATATTTTCATATACTACAGGAGCGTCACAGAAAAGTGAAAATCCAAAAAAGCAATTAGACTTGGGAGCTTATAGGTTCTTTCAAGCAAGGGTAAGAAATTATGGAGCAACAACTGAACAAAGGCAAAGGAGTTTGGCTTTTAAGAGTGGTGAGTCGCAGGAAAAAGACTAGGAAATGTGTGGGGAAGCAAATGAAAGTCAGCTCATCTCAGTTACGTTAGAGAAGTCAGACCTCCCTCTGCTGATGAAGCTTCCTTTCCTCACCCTCGCACAGAGGACGGGGGAGGTTTACGTCGCCCTCCCAAGGGAAATCAGGTCCTGCCTTAGGCGGAAAGAGATGGGACAGAGAGTTCTCGTGCCAGCTATCCGGCACTTGCCGTCAGCCCAATGTAATCAATATGCCAAAGTCACATACATGGGGGTGGCATATCCTGTCCCCCTCAACGTGTCACTTATCTTTCCTCCTGCCCCCTGGCTAAGCTCACAGACGCCCAGGCTTCCTGTGCTGTGCTTCTAGAACAGCCATACTCGACCTGTAGGGAGCTATGCTTTGCTGGTTAAGAAACAGCCACTTAGATAGGGTCCAAACAGTTCTGCGGTCTGTATTCCTAAGTATTGTTCAATCCTGAAAAACAAGGGTCACAACACCCAGGGCAGCCAGGCGAGGGTCCTCAACAGCAGCTTTGTGCTCATCCTCCTCCCCCTGCCCAGTTCTCCAGGAAGTGCTTCTCAAACTGGAGTCCAAGAACCGCCTGGAGGGCCGGTGCTGTGGCACAGGGCGGTTGAGCTGCCACCTGTGACTGAGGCATCCTGTATGAGCACCAGCTGGGGTCCCAGCTACTCCACTTCCTCCTTCCTTCCTGGGAAGGCAATGGAGGACAGCCCAGTGATTGGGTACCTGCCACCCATGTGGGAAACCTGGATGGACGTCCCGGCACTTCCTGGAAGTGAAGCAGCAGATGGAAGATCGAACTTTTTTTTAAAAGAATCACCTGCCAGGGCTGGTGCTGTGGCATAGTGGATAAATCTGCTGCTTGCAGTGCCAGCACCCCATACGGGTGCCAGTTCATGTCCTGGTGGCTCCTCTTCTGATCCACCACTCTACTGATGGCCTGGGAAGGCAGTGGAGGATGGCCCAAGTGCTGGGACTCCTGCACCTGTGAGGGGGACCTGGAGGAAGCTCCTGGCTCTGGATTGGCTCAGCTCCGGCTGTTGAGGCCACTTGGGGAATGAACCAGCAGATGCAAGACCTCACTCTCCCTCTGTGACTCTGCCTCTCAAGCAAATAATTTTTTTTGACAGGGAGAGTAGACAGTGAGAGAGACAGAGAGAAAGGTCTTCCTTTACTCTTGGTTCACCCTCCAATGGCCACTGCGGCTGGCGCACTGCACCGATCTGAAGCCAGGAGCCAGGTCCTTCTGGTCTCCCATGGGGTGCAGGGCCCAAGCACTTGGGCCATCCTCCACTGCCTTCCCGGGGCCACAGCATAGAGCTGGCCTGGAAGAGGGGCAACTGGGACAGAATCTGGTGCCCCGACCGGGACTAGAACCCAGGGTGCCAGCGCTGCAGACGGAGGATTAGCCTAGTGAGCCATGGCACTGGCCAGCAAATAATTTTTTTAAAAAGTCACCTGGAAGGCTTATAAAAACACAGATGCCAGGGCTTTGCCTCTAGATTTCCAGATTTAGGTGATCTAAGATGTCCAGCCATTTGCATTTTTAAAAAAAAATTTGGAAAGTAGAGATGAAAGAGAAATGATTATCTTCCATCTGCTGGTTCCCTCTCCAATACCCACAGCATCTAAGGCTGAATTAGACCAAAGCCAGGAGCCAGGAATTCTGTCTCTCTTGGGTGGTGGGGACCCATGTACTTGAGCTATCACCTGCTGCCTCCCAGGGTGCCCATTAGCAGAATGCTGACCGGGAAGCAGAGCAGGGATTCAAATCCACATACTCCTACTATATGCCAGTGCCCCAAGCTGGGTCTTTGACTCAGGAGCAAATGCCTACCCCAGCAATCTGCATTTCTAACAAGCTCCCAAGGGATGACTGTGCTGTGAGTCAGGGGACCACGCAGAGCAGAACTGCACCAGAGTTAGGACAATGTGTCCTTCAGTCAGGCTGACTGGGGCCGGGGGGAGGAGAGGAGGCCATGCTTATGTCTGTTTCTAGGTGCTAGAAAGAACAGCTAGAATTTTCCATAAACTATCCGGATTAGTCAGAATTCTGAGGAGGAAACAGATGGTACATTTAAAAGTGGGGTAAAAAAGACTTTAAGGAAGGGACTACTGACAAAGGTATGGGCAGGATGCGGGGATACAGCATGTAGGCTGACATTGATGGGTACCTATCGCCATCCTGAGGCCTAAGGGAATGAGGAGAGGGAGCTCCCAAGACAACAGCTGTAGCTCTGGAGAAGCCGCACTCTTTGAACCTGTGGCCTCTTGTAGATGGAGCCAAGCCAATGCCAACCCATTAGGTAGAAGCCAGCCTGCAGGATCAATAGTCAATTCTTGCTGTTCATTGTAGTTACCTTCTGTAGAGTTGCTGTAAATGCTGAATTAGTGATTACTGAACAACTGCTCCTAGGCGAAGTACAAGGGTAGGGCCCTGGGAGTCTCTGGTCACATGCCCACACCTATGAATACACAACCCGTGTCACGTGTGTTTCTGCTTTAAGACACCTTACTTAATGTATAACGCTAATTCACGGCCAACAGCACTGTAACGCATGCTTGACTGAAGCTCACATAACACACCTTATTTTCTCCCTACAGCACATCACAGCCTTTTTGGGATTAGGAACCTGAGGTAGCACTTCATTAATTTCATTCCTACTCCTGGGGGCCATTTTCAATCACTGTTGAAAAGCACAAAGTGTGAAAAATAGGACGCTAAATAGACCATGCAAAGAACATTTCTCAGTGTGAGAGCTGAAACAGGGCGGCAGAGTGTCACCTTGTCCAGTTGCAGCTAGGGGGCACATGCACATCACGTGACATTTCTCTTCTCAACGTGTCGGTGAATGACCACAAAGGTGTCCCGAGTATTGGTTTCAAGGTTACAAATGGATTTTAGCAAGTAGACCAATTTGCAAATACAGGATCCCCTAATAATGAGGAGCAACAGTTTGACTTCACTCTCCTCTCTCCCTCTACTGGTGACTCCATGGATTGCATCCAACCAGAGGGCAAACCAACCCGTCACGCCAGTCTCTCAAGGGTCAGCCTCCTGAATACCAAGCAGTGTGCATGCATAGAGAGCATGCCAGCAGCAGGGGGATCTAGAAGATACTCAGCACATCATCCCTCGCTTTTGTAGTCTTGACTGAGACCAGTCCATCTCACAAGACATGCACTTCATTAGTGATCAAGCATTTATTTACTGAGCACCTAGCACTAGCCTATGCACTGTGATATATGCAGCAGAGGGTTCAAGAACTTAGCAGTTACAGGCCCCATTCCCAAGGAGCTCAGTGTCTGGAAAGGAGAACTTACAGTTAGCTGACAGACATGTGAGCACCTCTCACGTTCTCGTCCCGGCTTTAGATGCCTGGGACACAGCAGGAGGAGCCCAGACAAGTCCACCGCGGCAGAACTGACCGACTAAGCAGAAGGCAGAGGACCGAAGGATCGCACTGCAGGTGGCCAAAGTGCCTGTGCTCACAGGTGCATCCACCTGTCAGGGGTCAGGGATCAGGGCAGCAGACCCTGGGTTGATCAACGGGAGTTGTCTAGAGGCAAGCACAGAGTGTGACACAGAGGTCACAGAGGACACAGAGGTCAGTGCCTGGAGCCCAAACCGGAGGTGTAAGAATAACAAAAGGTGAAGGCTTGTCTGCACACAGGTGTGACTAACTCAAGCTCCAGAGCTGACCAGTGCAGCAAGAGACAGGGGGGGATGAAGCCCCACAGGGCCTCCCAGGAGGGTAGGATGTTGAGGTGGCCCGACAAGGATGAGTAGGGCTTGGGCATGCAGAAAGGAGCCCGACAGAACATTCCAGAGCCCCTGGCTCACTGATAGGAACCTCAGCGGTGCTTTTCACGCCTCCCAGCCTCTTGCCCTGTGCCCGGCACACCTGCACGCATCGTTGCTCACAGCTGCCTGTAAGCTCAGGGAAGCCCCACCCCAGAGCTGAAGAATCAGACATGTAAGCAGAAATACCTGCAAGACTCCAAGCTAAAAGGGCTAGAACTAGGGGGCAAGTTGGGCGCTGGGGAGCAGCTCAATCTCGTCATGCACTGTGGTCCTCTCCCCTCGCGGGGGCCTGAAGGTCATAAAAACGTTCAGTGACACAACACACACTTCCTGCTCAGTCAAGTGGGCATGCACTGTGGAGATGGAGGAGAAGAGCAAAACCCAGTTCTCTGTGCTGTGGAAGATGCGGCCGGCTCCAAGCTATGGAGCCCACTGAGTCCCTACTTGGGCCTGGCCATGCACTCGGCCCTCTTGCAGGCATGAACTCCCTCCACACTTTCAGTGGCCCCCGAGGCGGACTTGGTCTGCCCTGTTGGATGGTGGAGTCGTGTCCTGCCCAGCTTACTAACACATCCCCACCCAACCCCAACTGCCAAGAGGCAGAAGCGAGACTCGAACCCACTGCCTCTGACGCCAAGCCGCGTCCTCCCGCTTTGCTTCCTTCTCTGTCTTCCTTCTCCTTAGAAGAAAGTCCTTTCAGTATTGGCTCTTCTCTGTGCTAACCAGGCAAGCACACTACTTTCTCTGTTAGGAATCCTGGGAACGCTTGCTACCGTCTTGGAGGGCCCTGGCTCTATTTCAACCTTCAAACCAGCTCCCCCTAACGGCTGTGTAGGACAGTCGGGGAAGCCATGAGCCTCCTGTTACAGATGTATAGAGGTGCAGAGGAATTGAATGGCTTACCTGGAAGCCATGCAGCCGTACCCCGAGACAAAGTAGAAAGAAGCTCTAATCTCCTGATGGAGAAATGGCAAACAGGCCACGTCTTACGCCGAGAGGATTCTGGGGCTGCGTGCAGGCTCGATAGGAAACACCTGTGATCAGTCTGCAATGTCTGCTGTGGCTGGGGAGAGAGGCAAACGGAGGCATCTGCACTTGACATGTGCTGCCTAACTGACATAACTACCTCAAAGCCTTCCACGGCCTCTTGCTTTAATGAAGAAATATGTTCATTCTCTAACAAGTAAGGCCTGCTGGATGGCTGATGCTCAGTACAGAGAGGCACGGTAACTTATCGAGTGGCTACTACTTACCAGCCTGACACCAGGCTACACAGCTGCATGTAAACTTATTCCTGTTGGTCATAAATCAACATTCAGATCCAGCTAAATGTAAATGTGGCTTTAGAAATGCCCTGGGAACATCATACACCCTTTGTACACGGGTCTGAATTCCATACTACTTAAAACCTGGAGAAAGATTTCTTAGATGTTAAATAAGCTCAAATTAAGTTTATAAAGACAGCACTTAGACATGGGGTAAATGCACCATCAGTATTTTAGGCAGGAAGTTCACTGGCAGTGAGCACACAGTCAGGAGCTCTGTGCCTAAGGTAGGGCTCCCACACTGGGCCAGCTGTGCCTTCTGATAGAATGAATGAGGCCTGAAGCTGGGAGCAACTGCTGCACGAGCTCCCTCTGGTGGCCGCAGCCGTTGGGAGACGAGTCTAGCACCACAGGTCCACAGTTTTTACAGCAGGCCCATTGGGCTTCTCAGTGGTGACTGTTTTCTGTGTGTCTGTGGCTGTGTGAAAACGCCTTACCAATACCAACCAGGCAAACAGCCACAAGCCACTGTGTGTACCACATATCTGTTGATGGTGAGCCCAGCTTAGTAAGAGTATCCACACGACTACGACAACACCTTTCCTGCAGGTAGCACGTGAGGTCCTAACCTTTGACCTAATTCTCTCTCCTGAGAGCAGTTTCATGGGGGAAAAACTAATACAAGAAAAAAATCTGTAGTTACTAAGATGTTGCAACACAACTGACCAACCATCCAGAAATGAGACAGTAAATTACGGTACATCTGCTAGATTAAAAATGATGCAGTCACTAAAATGATTGGCAGGACAAAGAAAATATTTCTTTACATAAAGATAAAAGAAAAAATTATATACACATATATGCATATACACAATGCTGCCCAATTATACTTCAAAATACATATGCAAATGAGTTTAGAAGAAAGTATAATAGAAAATTAGCAAGTATTATACCTGGTTTCTGAAGTTAGTAATGAGTTAAATTTTCTTCCTTACTCTTTGCGTTTTCCAAGTTTTAATTTTTTTTTAATTTGAGAAGCAGAGAGAGAGAGAGAGAGAGAGAGGGAGAGAGTTTCCATATGATAGTTCACTCTCCAAATGCTTGCAATAGCAGGGCTGGGACAGGGCTGAAGCTGAGATCTAGCAACACAATCCAGGTCTCCCACATGGGTGGCAGGAACCCAATTACTTGAGCCATCACCTCTGCCTCCCAGGGTCTGCATTAGCTGGAAGCTGGAGTCAGGTGCTGGAGCTGGGAATTGAACTTGGGTATGCTGATATGGGATGTGGGTATCTTAAGTGCAAGGCTGAATGTCCTATTTTCCAAGTTTTTGGCAGTAAACATGTATTGCTTCTAGAATAATTTTTTAGTAGAAGAAATTATGGACATTTTTGTCATGTGATTGTTATATAATAACATATAAATTAATAAAAACAGTCTTCAAAAATGTAGCCATGCTATTATACACAGGCATATGCTATGATTTCAATGTCACTTGTCCTGTAGGATTCCTGTATTGGAAGCTTGGTCCCCAGTGTGGCAATATTAGGGGATGGGGCCAGTGGGAGTTCCCCAGGTCTTTGGGGACATGCCCCTAGAGGAGCTAAAGCGGTTCTCAGGGGACCCCTTGGTGCTGGAGAGAAGTGTGGCCAATTCCTAGCCCCTTTGTCTCTCTGGTGACATGACCTCTTCTTCCCACCTGTGTACCTACCATTGTGGGTGCATCCACCATTGCCAGAGCTGGCTATGGAAATGAAAAATGCCTTATGTAGCATATTCTTTACATATAGAAAAGACTGTAAAGGAATTCATGAAAATGAAAGCCCTACAGATTTGGGGGTTTGATTATGGGTGAATCTTTTGTACCATCTTGTATCAGAGACTGTGCTGTTATAGACTGATCTAAGTTACCATTTTGATTTTCAGACTGAACAGAATCTTTTAGATGTGGATGATAAAGATTCTACTCCAGAGCTTCTCAGAGTTGCTCCACAGGCTGGGCAAGAATGCTCTTTGAAAAGATGGTGACATGATGACAGTCTGGAGTGCCAGATGCCTAGATGCCCTCAAGGTCATTTGCATAAAGCTTATTCCACCTCTCTCTCTCTCTCTCTCTCTCTCTCTCTCTCGTGCACACGCGTGCTCACTCTAAAAGGCTGATTTAGGTCAGGGCTGGTGGAATTTGTAATTTCTTTGAACTGGAGACACGGAGGCTGGCACCGTGGCTCACTAGGCTAATCCTCCGCCTGCGGCATCGGCACCCCGGGTTCTAGTCCCGGTCGGGGTGCCGGATTCTGTCCCGGTTGCTCCTCTTCTAGTCCAGCTCTCTGCTGTGGCCTGGGAAGGCAGTGGAGGATGGCCCAAGTCCTTGGGCCCTGCACCTGCATGGGAGACCAGGAGAAGCACCTGGCTCCTGGCTTCGGATCAGCGCAGCGCACCGGCTGTAGCAGCCATTTGGGGGGTGAACCAATGGAAGGAAGACCTTTCTCTCTGTCTCTCTCTCTCACTGTGTAATTCTGCCTGTAAAACAAACAAACAAACAAAAACAAACAAACAAAAAAAACTGGAGACATGGAAAATAAGGAAACCTACCGTGCAAATTGGGTATTTAAGCCTGAAGCACTTGATTTGAATTAGTAGTCTTTCAAGTTGTTTTTCCCACCACAAAAGTGACTGGTATTGAGTAAATCAGGAGACGAGATGACTAGATGTGGGAGGAGAGGGCGGAGGCCAGGAAAAGCAAGGCAGGCATGTCCATTCTGCATCTCCTATTCCTGTTCTAGCTCTAGGCCCTTCAGCAAGTTGAACAAGTTGCCCAAGTCTCATTGCTCTCATCTGTAAAATGGGACTAGTTACAAAAACGCAGAAAGCCGAGTGAGTTAATTTGTAGGTACATACGCATAAGTGCAGTGTGTCCTTTAAATGTTCCATGTATATGTATATGTATATGTATATGTATATGTATATGTATATGTATATACACACTCTGCAGCTTTCCCAGGAGTTACTGTCCTCGCCTGACCTCTTCTGCCAGGTTTGGGAGGAAGACAGGTGAGCGAAATCTGTGTCACGGGGAGGCAGCAGAGCACAGTGGTCAATGCCCTGCGCTGACTGGCGTCAGTTCAGCTGGGTTTGCAGCCTCAGCCCTCCACGTCCCAGCACGTGCACTTGGGCATGTTACTCAGCCTCCTTATGCCTCAGTTTCCCCATTTGCCGAAAAGCAATGATGACAAGGATGAAGGGCCTGCCTCTCAAGGTTGTTCTGAACGTTAAGCGAGTTCGTATATAAGAATCACTTAGGATTGCGTCTGGCATGTAGCGAGGTGAGCTTCTGTGATCAGTCATGTTCTCTGGAGTGACTGGCCCAGAGCATTTTCGTCAGCAAAGGCACCCGCGCTTGCGTGTTTCCTCCCTGTGTCGTGGTTTACACACGCGGATAAGAGCACAGAGCTTGGAAGAGAGGCCTGTGCAGGCTCATGTGCTCAGACAGCAGCAGGCAGGCCAACAGCCTGGCCTCCTCCATCCCAGGCCCTCTGTGGTCCCTGTGCGGCCACGCTCATGAATCTGGGCCAAGACTGTGATGAGACATCAGCTCCCTGGTTTCTGTGTCACAGCAGAGGGACTGCAAGAATGTCTAGGCTCCCGGCCTTGGCTGGGGAAAAAAAAGTGGAATAAGCAGGCAGCAGGAGCAGCAGGGTTACCGCAGGTCGTCTGGGGACTGCAAAGAAGCACACAGGAAAGGCTGGCTACCAGTGTGACTGCCAAAGCCGACAGGCAGCTGAAGAACCAAGCCTGCCCCCCGGGGTGGTACGGCTGCCCCCGGCCAGCCAGGCCCAGCTGCACTCCAGGGCGGCGGGCGACCACAGCAGTGCTCTGCAGGGAGTGATGCTGCACCTGTGCCTGAGCGAGTGCAAACAGGAGCACCCCACGCTGATGACATGTGAGGGTCCTTTATTGCCGGTGGTGGAGAGCGGGCCCACGCCCTAAAGAACTCTCGACCCCAAAGCCCAAAGCAACACAAAAAACTGGAGTGGGAATACATGGTGACTGGGGCCAAGCTGACCTTAAGCCTATGCCAAACTACTATCAATTATAATCTTCACAATGCCAGTTAACAATCTTAACAATTTCAATTATAATCTTGGCATTAATCCAGGTATTGGGCTAAATCATATGTAGGACATAGACAAATTACAATAGTATCGTTAACCCAGGCGCAGCCTATCTGTTTTTAAGCTTGAGCGATCATGCTAGGGGGTTTCTATGCTTTGCCATAGTTTCAGACTAGAGTCTCACGGTGCGGGGCAGGGCGTGCTTTCTCAAGATAGAGTCTCAGGTGCTCCAAACTGAAGTCCCTACTGTCAGGGTGTTACTTCAGTGATGTGGCAGAAAATGGGGCCTCATGATCACTGCTGGTCTCGCAGCCACCCGGGAAAGACTGAGGGCAAACAGCAGACACAGAAACCTGATTCCCTTCCCTTCCTCCCTTTCCCTCCCCTTCCCTTCCCTTCCTCCCCTTCCCTCCCCTCCCCTCCTCTCCCCTCCCCTCCCCTTCCGTTTCCAATTTTTTGGACAGGCAGAGTTAGACAGTGAGAGAGAGAGAGACAGAGAGAAAGGTCTTCCTTCCGTTGGTTCACCCCCCAAATGGCCGCTACGGCCAGCGCTGCTCTGATCAAAAGCCAGGAGCCAGGTGCTTCTCCTGGTCTCCCATGTGGGTGCAGGGCCCAAGCACTTGGGCCATCCTCCACTGCACTCCCGGGCCACAGCAGAGAGCTGGCCTGGAAGAGGGGCAACCAGGACAGAATCCGGCACCCCGACCGGGACTAGAACCCGGGGTGCTGGTGCCACAAGGTGGAGGATTAGCCTAGTAAGCCACAGCGCCAGCCAAGAAACCTGATTTTCTGATGGGAAAAAATGTTTGGGAATAAGGACCTGATCTTTTATACATCATTATTTAATATACAATAATATGCTCAAATATAACAACAAACTGAGAAAATTAAAATGTGTTCATTACAAACTTAGGAAATACAGAAAAACATAATGAAGAAAATCAAAGGATCATTTTGACGTGTTCTTGGGATAGCATTTTATTTTATATACCCACTGCACAGCATCCTGGTGGAGACCTGGACCGTGCTTTTTGAATCATTATTAGACATTCAGGTTATTTCCAATTTTTTTTACAACTATAGTAATGAAGTCATGCACTTTAATTTTTAAAGATTATTATTATTTGAGAGGCAGAGATACACACATGCATATACACACCGAGAGAGAGAGAGAGAGAGAGAGAGAGAGAACATTCTAATCCACAGATTCATTCTTCAAATACCCACAACAGCTGGGGCTGGGCCAGGAGCCAGGAACTCCATCCATATCTGTCACATGGGTGGCAGGAACCCAATGACTTGAGCCATCACCACTGCCTACAGGAACTGCGTCAGAAGGAAGCTGGAATCTAGAGCCAGAGCAGGATGCAAGCCCAGGGCCTCCGATACAGGATGCAGGCATCTTAACTCTAGGCCGAATGCACCTTTTGTACTTGCTAAGTGTTTGCACCTCTGACTGCCCTGAAATCTGGCTGAAATCCTAAACAGACCTGTTACTGAGTTTTTGTATTCTCCCGCCACTAGGGAGAACTCAAAGCTCCCCTTCCAGGGCTCCTCGGGAGTGAGGAGGAGGAGGAGGGGTAGGGCAGCGGGAGAGATTCCCGCAAAATCGTCATCAGGACATGGGGCTCCACAGTGAGGCTGTCAGTGAGGAGAGGCTGAAAGCGCTCAGTTCCCGTGGGGCTATCTCTGCGCTGCGGTAGATCCTGTGCCCAGGCTGCTCGCCTGCCCTGTTAGAAACCCATCTCGGCCGGCGCTGCACTAATCCTCCGCCTTGCGGCGCCGGCACACCGGGTTCTAGTCCCGGTCAGGGCGCTGGATTCTGTCCTGGTTGCCCCTCTTCCAGTCCAGCTCTCTGCTGTGGCCCGGGAGTGCAGTGGAGACCAGGAGAAGCACCATGGGAGACCAGGAGAAGCACCTGGCTCCTGCCTTCGGATCAGCTCGGTGCGCCGGCTGCAGCGCGCCAGCTGCGGCAGCCATTGGAGGGTGAACCAACGGCAAAGGAAGACCTTTGTCTCTCTCTCTCACTGTCCACTCTGCGAAAGAAAGAAAGAAAGAAAGAAAGAAAGAAAGAAAGAAAGAAAGAAAGAAAGAAAGAAAGAAAGAAAGAAAGAAAGAAAGAAAGAAAGAAAGAAAGAAAGAAAGAAAGAAAGAAAGAAAGAAAGAAAGAAAGAAAGAAAGAAAGAAAGAAAGAAAGAAAGAAAGAAAGAAAGAAAGAAAGAAAGAAAGAAAGAAAGAAAGAAAGAAAGAAAGAAAGAAAGAAAGAAAGAAAGAAAGAAAGAAAGAAAGAAAGAAAGAAAGAAAGAAAGAAAGAAAGAAAGAAAGAAAGAAAGAAAGAAAGAAAGAAGGGAAGGAAGGGAAGGAAGGGAAGGAAGGGAAGGAAGGGAAGGAAGGGAAGGAAGGGAAGGAAGGGAAGGAAGGGAAGGAAGGAAAAAGAAACCCATCTCTTATGGCCTCAAGCAAAAGGGCGAGTCAGCTGCTGGGAGAGTGGAGCCTCTCCCGTGTCCAGAGGAGCACAGGTAAGCAGACTACAGGAGACAGGGCTGCAGCGGGGTTCTGAGGGGAATAGGGCCTAGAAAGCTGAGTGATGTCAGGTCCTTGCCGTGGACCAACCAACCAACCACCCCAGGAAGGCAGGTTCTGTCAGAGTACAAACACTCCCACAGCAGCTCAAAGTTGGGAGGTGGGTTCTCAGGAGAAAGAGGTGCTATCCCTGGAGGAAGGGAGGGCTTTTTGGGTCTCTCTTCTAAGAACCCAAGATGGCAAGATGGACCTGAGGCTACCTCCCATCAGAAGGCTACCTGGAAAAATCTAGGAGTCAGGAGCTTAGTCCCAGTTTTGCTCAAGGCCTTAGGGAGGAACTTTATTTTTTCTTTGGAGTTCTCTTTCCTGACTCCAGTCTGCCATGAAGTATGGGCACAGTTCTCAACAGGTCTGGAAATTTCAAAGAGAGTTTTGGGGGCCAGCATTGTGGCATAGCTGGTAAATCCGCTGCCTGAGTGCTGGTATCCCATATAGGCGCCGGTTCGAGTCCCGGCTGCTCCACTTCCGATCCAGCTCTCTGCTATGGCCTGGGAAACAGTGGAAAATGGCCCAAGCCTTTGGGCCCCTGCACCCGCGTGGGAGACCTGGAAGAAGCTCCTGGCTTCAGATTGGTGCAGCTCTGGCTATTGCAGCCAATTGGGGAGTGAACCAGCAGATGGAATCCTTCATAAGTGAAGGAGAAATTAATATTTTCTCAGACAACAATTAAGAGAATTGTCCCTAGTAGACCTGGATTACAAGAAATGTTTAAAGGTCTTCAGAGAGAAGGAAAAAGAGGCAGGTATGGTACATAGAGCCACATATAAATATAGGAGAAGGAATAAGTTAGGAAAAACTTCACATTCCTGCAGTAAAACACCAAACCAAAAGCAAAGCATCCACAAAACCCAAATCATCTGCCTTTGGACCAAGAGTGAGTTGTTGGAAGGAGAGATGGGTGACTCAGAGTCCTGGGGGAAGGACAAGGGAAACAGGGAGTCTCCGTGGCTAAGAGCAGGAGCACAGTGACTCGGCCAGACCTGGGTGCAGGGACCTGGGGTGTGAGGACCAGAACTGGCCTGTGTGGACAGAGGAGAAAGAGGAACGCCAAACCAGTTGCCAGAGGTCCGTGATGAGCCAAGGCCATTAAATGGCAACTCATCCATCCAGCTAGAAGCCACGTGTGAATCCCAGGATAGCAGTTCTTCTCTTGACTGGAGGGAAGGAAAGAAAATAAAAAAACAGATTTCCCATGAGGCAGACCTCAACTAAAGCAGCAGATGCTGAGGCAATGGCCTGTAGCCGACTGGAGACCCCATGTGGACTGGGGAACGTGGGCCAGCACCTGTGCTATTTCAGATGGCTCTGCAGAGACTGTGGGTGGGCCTACCACAGGGGTTTCCCCCATCAGCTTGCACTTCTGTTTAGGTCAGAGATCGCTCTCACACTTGGCCTTGTGTTAGAGTCACCTGCAGGGTTTATGGAACCCAGATGGCTGCATGCCATCCCCAGAGTTTCTGGTTCAGTCAGTCTGCGGCGGGGCCTGAGTGTGGTTCTCCAACAGAGTGTGGTTCTCTCCCTGGGGCTGCTGCTGCCACTCATGGAGGACTATGCTGTGAGAACCACTGAACTGCAGGAAGACAAGTTTGTGTCACGTGGCCACCTGGCAGGCACTGTGATCCATCGTCTCACGCAAGGCTCACCTTTGTCTCTTCCTTCTCCTGGTTTTGCCGTCACATGGACATTCCACTTTCTGTGCGGGTCCACCATGGCTCAATAGCCCACACTGTTCTTCACAGTCCTTTTCCTCTTTGCCGTCCAGTTTGGGAAGTTTCCACTGAACATCCTGGGAAGAATACGGGCAGTTTGTGAAACTTTCTTTTATGGTTTGATTTATGTTCTCCTGAAAATATATTAGTGGCCTAATCCTCAGTAGCCTATAGTGCAGCTTTATTTGGAAATAGGGTAGCTGTAGATGCCATTAATTGAGATGAAGTCTGGGGCCGGCATTGTAGCTCAGCGGGGAAAGCCACTACCTGTGATGCCAGCATCGCATATGGGGACCAGTTCATGTGTGGGCTGCTACACTTCTGATCCAGCTCCCTGTTAATGGCCTCAGAGAAGCAGCAGAGGATGTTTGGGCCCATGCCCCCATATGAGAGACCCAGATGAAGCTCCTGACTCATGGCTTCAGCCTGGCCCAGCCCTGGCCATTGTGGCTATCTGGGGAGAGAACCAGCAGACGGAAAACCTTTCTGTCTCTCCTTGTCTCTCTGTAACTCTGACTTTCATATAAATAAATATATCTTTTTGTTTTTAAAGAGGTGAGGTCCTATTAGAGTAGGCTAGACTTTTAATGCCACATGACTGGTGTCTTTATCATAAGACAAAGGAAAACACCACGTGAAGACAGAGATGCACAGGGAGAAGGCGGGTACGTGGCCTAGAGGCATCCACATGCCAGGGAGGCCAAGGACTGTCAGTGCACCCGAGAAGCTCAAGAGGTAAGGATGGACTCCATGCTACAGATTTCAGAGAGGGCATGGCCATGGCCCTGCTGACACTTTGTTGTTGAACTTGTTGGCCTCTAGAACTTTGGGACAATACATTTCTACTATTTTAAGCCACCCAGTTTGTTGACTGTGTTACAGCAGCCCTAGAAACTAACACACCTGCAAAGCGCAGGCAGCCTTGGGCTGTTCTCTCCAGAGACTTTGCTGCTCCTTGAGTCCCATGACTCTAATTGGCGGAACCAGCAAACCCTTCCTGAGCCAAAGGGAGCCATGGACATGAGATGGCCTGGTAGAAAACCATTGCCCAGTTGCAGCACTGCATTCTGGAGAGTGACAAGTCAGCCCAATGAGGATGTCTCAAGTCTCAGCAGGAGCTGTGGTCACCTTTCCTGATGAGTTCTTTGCAGCTGCAGTCGCCTCCTGAAAGAAGATAGGCCCGCCCCAGGTCGCAGTGAAAAGGGAAATGGCCCGTTCTGAACAAGTCACTTCTCCATCTCAGCTGAAGCCACTTGTATGTATCTCTTCTTTGCAACCTGGAAAGACTTAAACAAATACAAATAACTCTAAATAAAAAAAGCTATTCTGATTTTACAATTGATCTGAGACTCAGAAAGGTTAGGTAACCTATCCAGGGTCACGTGGCAAATAAATGGCAGAGATTTTATGTCTCGAACCCTCGGCTTCTTTTCTACTACTGCATTCATCTGATGTTTCACGGGACAAATGCAAGCCGAGAATCTTGGGGCAAGGTGGGTTCTGTTACCATCCCACAGTTTAGTCTATGTCCTTTAGGGAGCACAAAACAGCCACCATGGAGCTGGGCAGAGTTTTCAGCAGGCAGTGACCTTGACAAGCCGTTAAGAAGGTGGTCACTCTTTTTCTGTCTTTGGAACTCAGAGGTGGCCTCACTGCATGTCTGCATGATTCATCCAATAAGCATTATATTAAGTACCCATTTCACAGCTTCTTAATGAGTTCACACAATTCTTTAATCTGAGGAGTTCTCCTTCCAAACCTTAACCACTAGCCCAGTGTCCCCCTCCCTAAGCAACCAATATGATTTTTGATTGTAGAGAAATTCATTCTAGAAAGAGATTTATGCCTAAGTTTGACAACACTTCGGAAAATCATATATGAAATAGAACGGAAGAGGTGCAGAAAGGGCTTTGAAAGCAATTCAACATGTTTTGGTGACTGCTGAACTCAATCTTGGCCCATTGTAGGTGCTCAACAAATGTTTATGAACGAGGTCAGGGAATCTGGGTAATGTTTCTATTTATCACCAGAAACAGTTGCACATTTATCTCTTCATTTATTATTTCACTCACTTAAGAAATACCTGTTGAACCCTTACTGTATGCCAGCAACTGACAATGAACAGGGTAATGGGACAGAGCCCAGCCCTTGAGAAGGGCAAGGAATAATGGACATGGAGGATCCCTGGAACCAGTGTTGCTAAGTGAGTAATTGATCCTGGCCAGTCTTTAAAGATGCCTTATGCTGACTGCCTTTAGTTCCTGGAAAGTGTTGCCCCAGGGAAAGCACCATGTTTAAGAATGAGAGTCGGGTTATTTGCCAGTCACCATCTGTATGTCCTTGAGTTAGTTATCTAGGTTCATGAGCCCCAGCCTCCTCTAAAGCGGGAATAATGATGACACTCGCTTGATGCGGCTGCCGTGGGATTAAGGGAGGAAATGAAATAATCCATGTTCATAATCACTGCACTTGGTAAGAACACACACATTAATACTTACGGACTGAATTCTTTATGGAAAGGGACTGCTCTTTAGGCTCTTTGTTAACTATTTCATGGAGCAGGCCAATCACACAAGGAATAGCACCCAGAACAACTCCTCACAGTGGAGCCGCCCAAAGTGTGCTGGAGCACTGAGGTCAGAGAGAGCGTCCTTGCTGATAAAATGCTTGGAGAAACTACTGGGAAGTGACTTCTATTGAAGATTCACAGTGTGTATCCGCGTATCAAGGAAGTCAGGAAACTGCAGTGAAGAAATGACTGAACTTCAGTTCAGTGTTTCCAGCCACATGGAACCCATGATCCACCACAGGAAAACCCAAACTCCCGAAGTCTAGATTTGGCAGGGAGTTCTGGCCAGAGAGACGGCTGATCCCAGAGTTCCCTGCTCCTGTGGGTTTTCGCTCCCCTTTACAGCTCCTGCTGTGCTTTCTGCTTCTGCCTTTCCCTGGCGTCGAGGGCTGGTCCCGTGCCTCGTTATGGTGCTTCGGCTCCTCACAGTAGAGCTGACGCTGGCTCACATGTCATGAGGACTTTACCAAACATCAGAAGGATCCCTGGGAAAACACATAGCAACGTCAGGAAAATCTCCGAGCCTGATGTGGGTCCCTGGCCCCACCACAGCCAGCAACTCTTGGGCACTGTGCCCTTGATACTCTGGCTGGGCTGCCTCCTTTTGATCCCCAAAGAGATGGCATAAACTTACAGGTGCAGTAAGTGGCAAAAAGAAACATGCTAGTTCTCTTGATCAAATCCATCCCCAATCCCTGAGGCCGGCAGCCCTGCCGCTGGTCCTCTCAGGAACCTTTCCCTTGGGGATCTCCCACGTTGGTCTTGGAGGGTCACCATTACCTCTTTAAGACTAGGAGTCAAGGGGCCAGTGTTGTGGTGTAGCAAGTAAGGCTGCTGTCTACAACACCAGCATCCCATGTGGGCACCACTTTGAATCCTGGCAACTCCACTTCTGATCCAGCTTCCTGCTGGTGTACCTGGAAAAGCAGCAGAAGATGGCCCAGGTGCTTGAGCCTCTGCACCCATATGGGACATTTGAATGGAGTTTTGGGCACCTGGCTTTGGTCTAGCCCAGCGCTGGCCATTGTAGTCATCTGGGGAGTGAATCATTAGATGGAGGATCTCTCTCTCTCTCTCTTTATCTATCTTTCCCTCTCTCTGACACTCTGCCTTTCAAATAAAATGAAAAAAAAATTAGGGGTTAAGCCTTTACCTATGAAGCTTCCTTTAATTAGGTTACAAGCAGATGATGGGCTGGACCAACTAAATAAGCTCAGGGACAAACCACCGGAAGGCTGCTCAGAGATCCAGCCACCAGGCCACTTCCCTCCTGTGGCCAGCCTCTCTGGGTTCCAGTGTGTTTTCCAGCAGAATGTCAGAGATAATGGATTTTCCCAACCCATGACTGTGATTCTCAAAAATCATAGCTTAGATCTCCTTGTCACTGGTTAAGCTGTCAATTAGATTCTTATTTTTTAAATAATATTTCAAAGATTTATTTATCTGAAAGTCAGAGTTACAGAGAGCAAGAGAGAAAAACAGAGAAAGAGAGATCCTCCATCCACTGATTCACTTCCAGATGGCTGTATTGGCTAGGTCTGGGCCAGGCCTAAGCCAGGAGCTTCATCTGGGTCTCCCACATGGGTGGCAGGGGCTCAAACACTTGGGCCATCTTCTTCTGCTTTTCCCAGACCATTAGCAGGGAGCTGGATCGGAAGTGGAGCAGCCAGGACTAGAACCGGCATCCGTATGGGATGCTGATATCACAGGCAGTTGGCTTTACCTGCTACTGCACCCCAACACCGGCCCCAACTGAATTATTTTTTAATGTAACAAAACAAAGACACTATATGGAACTTTCTTAGGACAAAACAAAACACGACACTGGGATTGAGTTCTCTGATTTACAAAATCTGACCTAACCAATCCAGTTTCCCCCTACAGATATAGATGGAAAGAAATCATAAAGCGTGCCTCTGACTTTGGGCAATATCAATTTCTGCCTCTTCTTCTCCCAACATTACTCTTAAAATCCTAAGATTCCACCCTTGGTGGGGAGATGGCCTAACTCCCCTTACCAGGAACGAGGAACAATGTCAAAGGGCTGTTTTGTTATTTCCACCCACATGGAAAGCCCGTTTTTTTTTTTTGTTTTTGTTTTGTTTTGTTTTGTTTTGTTTTGTTTTTTTGCCTGTAAGCAGTTTTTATCTGCTTAAGGTCTGGGGGCTTTTTTCAGGTATTTTAGGGTGCCAGCAGCAAGGAAAAACTCAGCAGAGCTTTATAGGAGATCCAAATGCCCCTGTTTTACCAAAAAAAGAGTCAAAGGACTGGGTTAAAATTGCCACTCTCTCTAGATACAAAAGTTGCAGGAAACTTAAAACATCAGCCCTTGGAAACCAAAGCTTTGTGCAAATTTAATTTGTCCACTGTGGAGGGAGGGCTAGAAAAAATGCCTCCAGACACATAGGGGAGATCGGGGGCAGCCTGCTGTTGAGAACACTGATTACTGACAAAAGCGTTCCGAACCTCTTCAGTTCTTTGCTGCATAGAGACTGCGGCGTCCCTGCAGGTGTCACTATCAGGACTCACGCAGCTCTCAGGGCTGCACCCCCGAGTCTTCCTCCCTCTCTGTGCTGTACTGGAGCTCGGTTGGAGCTGTTGAAGTGCAGTGAGCAGTGAGTAAGCCCTTTCCCATCCTGAACCCCCCACTGAGTCTTTAGAGCAATACTTGCTGAGAGAGAGAGAGAGAGTCTTTGGGTGATGGTGGTTGGGCTGGCAGAGGAGGATTTCTTTCAAAATGGAAAACAGGAAAATATACTGAAGCCAACAATTATCCTTATGCTGAAATATCATCCCACTTTCTCTGAAAATGGTGCTTCTTATAAAGTCACTATAATAAATCTTTTTTTAAAAGAAGTAAATGGGGCTGGCACTGTGGCATGGTGGGTAAAGCCTCTGCCTGTGATGCCAGCATCCCATATAGGTGCTGGTTTGAGTCGTGGTTGCTCTACTGCCGATCTAGCTCCCTACTAATGCTCCTAGGAAAGCAGCATAAAATGGTCAAGTGTTTGGGCCCCTGCCACCCATGTGGGAGATCCAGACAAAGCTCCTGGCTCCTGGCTTTGGCCTGGCCCAACTCTGGCCATTGTAGCCATCTGGGGAGTATACCAGTGGATGGAAGATCTCTGTGTGTCTCTCCTCTTTCTCCGTAACTCTTTAAAATAACTAACATTTGTTTAAGTCACTGGAGTTGAGATTTGAGCAACAGTTGAGGCCACTGAGTTTGTACCATGTACCAGCCATGGTTCAAGGCAAGGAGAGACAGAAATGCAACCGCTATCTTCCTGGAACTCCAGAACCAGTGGGTGTGGCAGACGTGACCCTAACAACAGGTCATGGGTAAGTGGTAGGAGCTTACCCATGGAAGTGAGCAGGGAGCTCCTGGCAGGCTTCCACAATCTCCAGCAGGAGTCCTGGAGAACACAGCACTGGCCCTCTCCCAGCCCTGCTTCTGAAACTGCTACCACTAGGAAGACTTCTCTGCCTTCCGAACAACCACCTCTTCCTACAAAAGGGCAGCAGCACGAAGCCCTGTTTGTAGTAACGTCTTTAGGGTGTCTGAGAAAGCAAAGGTTCATCATTTTCAGTGCCTCAGGAGGATGAGGAAACAGGATTCTGGCCCTGAGTTTTGAAAAAAATCAGAGCCATCCCCAGGATGCAGGCCTGTGTTGCAAGGGACCACTTCCCACTAGGTGGCAGAAGAGAACCAGTCAGTGGCCGGCAAGGTGTAGCAGGTGCCAAGTTCAGACTCAGGGGCAAGAGCAAGGGCAGGGAAAGGGGCTGCAGCACCTCTGTGCTGGGTCAAAGGGATAGCGGGAAACAGCTTCCTAGCTATGGGCCACACTGTTGGTGCCAAGCATGCTCTGCACCCGATGCCACATCAATCAATTCACAAGCATTATCTCCTCCCACAGTGAACACAGGAGGCCGACACTACAAGGCCTCTCTTAGATGTATGCTCCGAGGCTTACCCAAGGCTACATAGATTGAACAGATAAACTGCTGGCAGTTTGGACCAGAGTGCCTCCTGTTAGCCTGAGGCTAGGGAAGGAAAGGCAGTCACGGGGAGGACCTGGCCCTGGGGTGGCCATTGAGGGACAGTGACTAGCCAGAGGGAAATTCTAGGAGGCTCCCAGGAAATCAGATGTGAGATTTTCAGGTTGAGATTCCCTGGAAGCCTTATTTGATGAAGCTACACCCAGCTTATCCCAGCCACCTCAGAAGCTGCAAACCACTCAGCCACCTGAAGAGAGGCCTGAATGGGATCTGCCTGGGACTCACATCTTAAGTTTCAAAGGACAAACAAGCTTGAGAGTGCATACCCAGAGAGGTCGTGGTGTCCCCAGCATGCTGGGTCTGGTCTTGAGTTACCGAGGCCCCCAGCTCAGCTCAGCTACCATAGCCTTGAGCGAGGCCCAGGCACTTCACTTTGCCCTGAGGTGCAGGCCAGCTCCACTCACCCTCTCTGTGGTCTTGCTCACATCGTCCAGAGCCATGGTAGGTATAGAAGGCAGCTTAGTGCAAACTGTGGGCTTCTCAACTTGGAACCACAGCCTTCGGCGGACACCAGCACTCACCACTAGGGCTTTCAGGGAGTTACCCGGCATAATCCTGATGTTCGGGATGGAGTTGCACTGGATGTGATATGACACCAGGGCCTTGTGTCCTTCCCAGCCTTTGCACAGAATCTCTGGGCCATCCTCAGTTCTGGGGACCCTGACCACGTCACGCTCTATTGTTTGGCCTCAAGGCCTTGCGCTGGTTGTTTCCATATTTGAAATGTTCTTCCTCTACCTCCTCATAGCCAACTCCTTGTCATTCAGATCTCAGTTTACATTTTCCCTCCTTTTCATGAAGACTCTCTCAGTTTCACCTGATAAGACCCAACTCCTCTTTCTCTGTTTTGTTTCTCCTGTTTCCACTGATGACTTCTGTTGGTTGATCAAAGTCAGGATCTGAAAGGAATGGAGCCCTTGGATGTTATGGGGAAGGAGATCTTTGTGGTCATTTAGTCTAAGTCCTCAGTTGTTGAGGACTCTCACTTATACTCCTGAATTCTGGTGGATTTTTGCTTTACTTTGCTTGCCCACAATGGTTAGGGTGAGCTGTGAAGCAAGGGTGACCACTGTGCCTCACTGCAGTGCCTCTGGGCTGTACACCTTTGATGCCCAGGGTAGCTTACAATGCTAAGTAAAGCCAGCCCTGGTTTCAGTTAGACTGTAAGTAGGTTGTACTCAACCTTCAAGAAGGAAATTTCACTGGCCCCTTGCAAATGCGTGAAAACTCACGGTCCCTAGTGGGTAACACAAAGAACTCAGGGAGCTAAGTTTACGAGGTTTTAGGAATCTTCCGTTGCCTCTTTGTGGTCATGAGAATGCAGGACTAGGCAATCTCTGTATCTGAGCCCCAGGGTTCTTCTACTCCTTGAGGAGAAGATGAGGAAGAATGTTGAGCACCCAGCTAACTCTGGGTTTCAGACAAATGAAACAAATATATATAAATATGTTAATGTAAGGGTGTCTCATGCATTTTTAGCACAAAAATATTGCACGGGACATAGTTATACTAAAAATGCATTCATTGTTTATCTGAAATTCAAATTTAGCTGGCCATTCTGTATTTAATACAGCAGCTCTGTGCAGGAGCGACCGACATTTAAAATAAATGACTTCCCTAGGATAAAGCTCTGGGATTATGGTAAACAGAAGCCACAGTGAGCTGTTCCCCACCCCCCTGCCCCCCAAGGGAGGAATTAATTCGGTTTCTTTCATGCCAATTAAGCAATCACAGTCAACTCTGTCGGGAATCCAAACCCATGACTATCACGGGACTTGAGACCACGAAAAAGTGAAGAAGATTAAGAGGCAGAGAAGCAGTCTTCACAGACACGGGCGGCTGGCAGAAGAGAACTGGCTCATCCTGGAAGGTAAGGGTGTGCGTCACCTTCTCACCAGAATTGTAGTCCTGTAGATCCAGAGCAGGGGTGGGGGATTCTGGTGGACCCTGCCGCACTTCCTCATGGCCTCTCTGATACTCAATTGTCAACAGAATTCCCCTGCGACGTTTGTCATCCTCCAACTTCTAACCCTCTCTGGGCCCTCTGGGACTGCCAAGAAGCATAGCAATTATTCAGGGTGGCAGGCAGCTGGTGAGAAGACTCCTGCTGGAGTTCGGCATACTCTCCCGTGGCTGCTGCTCTTGCTTTGAGTGTAACAAGGCGCATTTGCTGTCTCTGTATCATCTGCCAGGGCTCTGAGCTTAAGGTATAGATGGACGAAAACAATTTAATGCATAACTGAGTTTCTTGTCTGTAATTTTGGGCATAGAGCTCACTCTTGGAGAATTTACTTGAGAGCATCAGCGAGTTCAACTATGCTTTCTTTTTTACAACTAGGAAGGACAAATTGCATGTAAAAAAAATGCCCCCACCTCCACCCCCAGTGGAAAGGAGTTGCCTGGTGAAATCCCCACTCTGCTCTTCTACTCCTCCCTGGGGTTTGAAATTGAAGTTGGGTGATGTAGCTCTATGGGGCTCAGACCTTCGAAATCCACCAGAGTGATAGGGCTTCCATGGATGGCTTTTAATGAGTACACGTTCATCATAGCCACTGCAGTTCATGAGCTTTTGTTTTGTTCATCTGCATGTATTATAGTTAATTAAAAAATCATAGCTACGAAACTTGAACTATAGAAGAGCAGAACTTGATCAAAGTGGGAGGGAAAACAAATTGTTAGGCATAAGCAGGTCCTAGGCTTCTGGAGCTGATTTTGGGTGAAATGCTCATGGACAAGCCGAGGCACCTGCCCGGGGCTGGTTTCTTTGTTGAAAAGTGGGATTGAAAGATGCTGTGCTTGGCTGCCTGGCTCACACACCCATGGTGAGATTCAAGCATAAGGTGCTCTGGGAAACAGAGATTATGCTATCATAGGCCTCTGCTTGTTCTGAGATAAATATGAGATGATAACTTTGGAGAGAAATAACTCCTCTTATTTTGTTAACCACTGCCCTGGGTCAGAGAAGGTAGAGAATGAATAAAAAACAGTGTATCACTTGTTGTTCTACAAGTTTATGGTATAGAGTCAAACTGAAGGTAAATGGATATTTTTCCCCAAATAATAACTCAATTTGAAAGTCCTGTGTTTCCATTCGTAGTTTCTTCTTCAAGTTTTTCATTAGTGGGAAAGGTAAGAAACCCAAGCTGTTTCTGAAGCTTGTGCTAGCAAGGAATGAAGCAGGTGCAAATCCTTTTGTAGAGAAACCTGAGTGTGGTTGTCCCCTGGTGAGAATGTTATTGGTGGGACTCTATGACATGGCTGGCAAGAACGTTTTGGATGCACTAAATAATGCTCATGTGCCCCTTCTGATAGGTGTCCTGTGCCCTGACCTTTCATGATGCCAAGAAAAGAGGCTCACTTCATCTATGGTTACCCCAAGAAGGGGCACGGCCACTCCTACATCACAGTTGAAGAGTAAGTTCAACCCAGACCCAGAGGGGTTCTCAGTTTGCTGTTTGCTGACACAGCCTGCTGACTTCCCCCAGCACGTGACTACCTAGCAAGTCTCCTTAGTGTTCTGTCTCCACAGACAGCAAAAGGTCTGGAAACAAGGTGAGGAGGCCCCAGGGGCTCACTCAGGCTCCTCAGAGGCCAAACAAGCAAGAAGACAAGAATGGTAAAAAGTTGGATCTTACCCACTTTGTCTGCATTCTTGGCTTCTGGGTCTTTGTTGTAGGTTCTTAACCTGGAACATAGCTGTCTTGTATGCAGACGAATCTTTACTCAAGCTTTGTCCTGTCTATTCTGCTCAGGCTCCTAAAGGAGATTTGCAGACCATGAAATGTGTTGCCAAAGAACCAGTGAGGATGAAGGGCAGATGAGAGTGACTCCCTCTGCAGACTGACGCCAGGATGAAGATGGTGTTCGTAATTTTATCTGAAAAAAAAAAAAAAAAAGCAGTTTGATATTACGAGTTAATTAGAAATTAGCATTTGCATGATGAAGCATTTCTAAGTGCTAAGTGTTGTATACTGGTCCAAGACATGATCCAGTGGGAAAATTAGGCCTGAGGATAATCCCAGGAGATGTAATTGCTGTAACGGGAACACCAAGGATGCAGGGGCACACTCCGCATGTCCTTTCCGCCCTCTGAGTGTGAACCCCAACAGGACAGCAAGGAACTGTCTTTTGGAACATCTTGTCTGTGCTCTGTTCAGAACTTGCTGTAAACCTGCTCTCCCTTTGGAAAGAGTTGGTGAGCAATCTTATAGGAAGTGAGAAGCAGGGACAAATAAGATGTGGAACCCATCAGAGGTGCTGAGGAGGACATCATGCTGGGAGCACCTGCTCAGAGGACCCCAGGGGATTTTCTAATACGCTGTGTGGTCAATGGGGTTGGGGGTGGCAGATGCCTTCTGGCAAAATGTCCCAAGAGCAAAGACGTGCTGTGTGTACGATGCACTGTTTCAGCTTCTGTGTGGTGGCCCAACACACCCTTTACTTTTTTTTTTTTTTTTTTTTTTTTGACAGGCAGAGTGGACAGTGAGAGAGAGAGACAGAGAGAAAGGTCTTCCTTTTGCCGTTGGTTCACCCTCCAATGGCCGCCGCGGCCAGCGCGCTGCGGCCGGCGCACCGCGCTGATCCGATGGCAGGAGCCAGGAGCCAGGTGCTTTTCCTGGTCTCCCATGGGGTGCAGGGCCCAAGCACCTGGGCCATCCTCCACTGCACTCCCTGGCCACAGCAGAGGGCTGGCCTGGAAGAGGGGCAACCGGGACAGAATCCGGCGCCCCGACCGGGACTAGAACCCGGTGTGCCGGCGCCGCTAGGCGGAGGATTAGCCTAGTGAGCCGCGGCGCCGGCCCACCCTTTACATTTAATTATACTTATCTCTCATGTAATTGTTTAAAACGTCCAAGGGCTCATCAGTTGCCTTCTGTTCAGTTACTGCTCTTGGATATTGCCTTTGCCTACATGGTTGAAGGTGATGTGCCATCACTTTCATGTCTCACCAACAAAAGAAGGGGAGATGAAAGAGAGGCTAGACCATTCATTTCAAGGGACACACATCACTTCTCTTACCTATCACATAATGGCACTCACCCTGGTGGGTTCATCCTTGCTGTGCTGTAAATGAGGAAAGGCTTTGAGAAATCAGGCACTGTGTGGTTGGACATGGTGGTGCTGGACTTTAAATCCAGACCTGGTTGCCTCCAGAGTCCAAGCTGCAGGACAATGGAGACCAGTATTTGCACAGACCTATCCCATGAGAGGCTAGGGCAGAGATATCTCAGCATGAAGCTGGGCTCTGAACCATTCCTTGCTGGAGGCTGGAGGTTGTCTGCTTCATAGGCTGAAAACTGGGCTGTTCTTTGCTATTCAGTGTCAGCTGTGGAACCTAGCAGCCAGGTTCCATTCATAGCCTAAACAGAGTTACCTTCAGGGTCTAATCAGGAAGACAGAAACAAGCGAGGTGCTTGAACTCCAATATAAGGAATTGATTCAACAGGCTTTGGGACTGAGGAGGTAAAGAAGACAAAGAAGTTAGTAACTGAGAGATGTGGCTTCCACCCCTGGTGGGTGGGAGAGTATAAACAGAAGGGTGGGGGTCCTCAGAACCTGGCTCAGATCCTTGAGTAGGGGTTTCTGCTTGGCTGGTTCTGGTGCCTGATGTACCTCTGAGGTGAGGTGGAGGCACTGGTGGGCTGGTGCTGTTGCTGGTGAGGGCAAGGATGCAACTGGTTTTTAGAGCAAGGACTCGTGATTAGGACTGACTGATGGTGGGAAGGCTGTGGCTGGAGTGATGCTGACCCAAACAGGAGGTGGACCAGAAAGAGCAGCTCCCTCCCTCTCCTCTGGTCTCTCAGTCCACCTCTGGGGCACTCCACTAAAGGGCAAATGAGATGTGAGGCTTGTAGAGAGTGCAGGGAAAAATAACCCCTTCAACCTGTGTGTAGGAGTAGCTGGCCTTCTATAAGCAGAAATGTTGCTGTCTGCAGGACAATCAGATGACCATAGCCCACGAGACGCTCTTTACTTCAGTCTGTGAGAGAAGGAACACCATGATCTTGTGCAAGGTCGTAAAAGATGAATCCAGAAAATACCTGTGCAAAAGGCCACTCATTTGTTCCTCTCACAAAAGCTCTAGCTCAGATGAAATGCAGGCTGTGGCGTGGGCATGTTTGCTTCCAGTTAAGATGCCACTACCCCATACTGGAATGTCTGGGCTCAAGTCCTGCGTCTGGCTCCTGACTCAAGCTTCTTGCTAATGTGCACCTTGGGAGACAGCGTGATAACTCAAATAGATGGTTTCCTGCCATCCATGTAAGAGACCTGGACTGAGTTCCCAGCATCTGGCTTCAGACTGGCCCAGCACTAGCCATTATGGGAGTAAGGGGATAGAACCAACAGATGGGAACTCTTCTTAAAAAAAAATTTATTTTATTTGAAAGGTAGAGTGACAGAGCAAGCAAGCAAGTGAGAGAGCACGAGAGAGACAGATCTTTTTCACTGGTTCACTTCACAAATGTCTGCAATAGACAGAGCAAGGCCAGGCTGAAGCCAGGAGCCAGGAACTCCATCTCAGTCCTATGTGGGTGGCAGGAACCCAAGTACTTGGGCCATCCACTGTCTCCCAGGCACATTAGCAGAGAGTTGGATCAGAAGCATGGAGTAGTCACGACTTGAACCAAATGCTTCAAGATGGGAAGAGAGTATTCCAAGTGGTGGTTTAACCCACTGTACCACAATGCCTGTCCCCAGATCGTGGCTCTATGTGTCTGTCTAAAGCTGTCTCTGCCTCTCAAACCTAAAGAGTACAGATTCCCAGGTGCCGATTTTGTAGGTCAGAGTGATTCAGAATGGGCACTCCAACCTGCATTGAGATGGTCCTGCTACAGGTGGTGTGTGGGTGAACTCTGAGGAGCTCTGCTATGCTAAGCCAGACTGTGTTCTTGTGGTGTGTCTGGCATATCCTCGTGTTTTCCGCTCTCAGTCACTTGAATGGTTGTGAGTGCAACGTGACTGACTATAAAGAGCTGGAACAGAGCTCTGTCTGTGTCAAGATGTTCAAGCACAGACCACAGAGAAAAATTATAGCAGAGGCACCCTTCAGTCATGAGTCTATTGAACATCTCTGATCTCTGTGGCAGCTTTACTGCAGGAACGAGTGATTCTGAAGGCAAAGCACTGGCCTGGGGCATGGGAGACCTGGGCCTGGCACAAATTTTAGTGTTCACTTGCTGGTATCTAGTTATTGCCCATTGCTGTGAATGTTATTCTGTCATTTACTGGTTGTGAAAACAGGAATCTTACCAGTGTCCTGTCAACTGTAACATGAACACTGTACCTACCTACATAAGAGGATTGTAATGAAGATGAAATAAAACATGTATGTGGCGTAAGCATTGTGTCACAGTGGGTTAAGACACCACTTGGGATGCCCACATACCATATGAGAGGGATGATTTGAGTCCCATTTGCTCTGTTTCTCATTCAGCTTTCTGCAAATGCATCCTGGGAAGAGCAGATGATGGCTCAGTAACTGGGTGCCTGCCACCCAACTGGGAGACCCAGCTGGAGTTCCAGGCCCAGCTCTGGCTGTTGCAAGCATTTGAAGAGTGAACTGGTGGACAGATCTCTTTCTCTGTCATTCTGCCTTTAAAGTAGATGAAGAAAAGAAATAAAAGATAAAAATAAATAGTAAATAATTATATATTTTTAAAAGCATATAGAAATGCCTAGCACAGTACATGGTACAACTTGGCACTCTGAATTGTCAGTATGGTAGTGGTGATGCTGATACATCTTGATAGATTTCAGCTTCATGTTCTATAAAATGGGCAGATTGGTCTACATCATTGGATCTGATGCTGTCATCTCATGGTTCTCTCCTTCCTGCTTGGGGATAGATGGGTAAGGCTTGATGTTTTAGCAGCTCTATAGGGACGCAGTCTAGTAGATGGTACAGGGCAAAATTATCTTTAGAATAAGCCTTAGCTCAACCCTGCTTCTCCTGTAGCTGCACAGTCTAAGTCACCAAGCTCCTCTGACCTCAGAATCAGCCCTTAAGGCATTTGGATGTGGCTGAAAAGCCCACGAGAGTGATGCAGGTATGGAAAGCCAAGACACTATGGCAAAAATTTCCTACATGAGGGATCTCTATGAATGAGACCCAGTGGAAAGAAGGGGCCATCAAAGAAGGATGTACTTTTCTCTGAAGGGAGGAGAGAACTTCCACTTTGATTATGGTTCTGTCTAAATACTGACAGAGTTTGTGGTCACAAAAGGCTTCCACAGCCTTGGAAGCTCATGGCAAGAGCCTTGGGTGATCACTGAGGACATAAATAAGAGTGTGAATTGTTAATGACAGAAGTCACTGTGCACTTATTCCCCTTGTAGGACCTCTGTCCTTAATGAGTTGTACTATGAGAATTAGCTGCAAAACTTATTCTCAAACAGTACTTTTTACATTGTGTGTGCGTACGTGTGCAAACTGTTGAAATCTTTACTTAGTATAGAGTTGGTCTTCTGTATATAAAGTTAATTAAAAATGAATCTTCAAGAAGAATGGGATGTGAGAAGAAGTAGGAGGTGGTATAGGAGTGGGGGTGGGAGGGTGTGTTTGGGGAGAAAAAGCACTACATTCTCAAAGTTGTACCTATGAAAATTGTATTAATTAAATAAAAGCTTTCAAAAAAAAAAGTCCCCAAGCTCTGCAGGGCCTTTCTTTGAAAGTTGACAGTCACAGTTAACAGATTCAGTACTCTCAACTTAGATCATGCTGTGATGCAGAAGGTCAGGCAGATATTAACTAATTGATGATGTTATGGAGGGGGTCTACAGCCCCAGGCTGTAGTTCCAGGGACATTGTGGTAACTGCAACACTTCCCTAGTATAATTAAACACTTTTTATTACCTTAACAAAAATACAAAAGAGGAACTTCTTGGGAAAGAAAAGATTTACTTTAGCTTACAGTTTGTGGTTAAAGTTCAGGATTGGGTGGCCTGTAGTGTGGCATCTTCGGGGCTGGTCATGGCAGGTGCAGACAAATGATCACATGACAATCTAGAAAGCAGAGAGAACAGAACTTGAATTCAATCAACCCTCTCATGAGGACCACCCTCTGAGGGCATGTCCTCAGTGATCTCAAGACCTCCCACCAGACCATCCATAATTCGATCAAATAGCCATTCTTAATCAATCAGTCTTTAACATAAATACTTCAGAGTTTAAACACCTGCACGAGTGTTGGGGAGACAATTCCTACCCAACTTTTAACACCAGAGTTCATTGGAAACAGGGCCCAAGAGGCTTGTTTGGATCCCCAGGTTGGCATCCTGCTGCTTAGAACTAGGTCGTTCTCAGTAAGGGTTGCTAAAACTTTTCTCTAGGTTCAGTTCAGATACTTCTCCCTAGAAAAAAATGGGTGAAGGGGGAGTTTGGGGCAGAGAGCACAGAGACAATTGAAATGGACTATGGTTCAAATCCTCTTTCTCTCTTGTATTAGTTCTGTATGACCATCAGCAAGTTATGTAACCTCTGCATCTGTTTCCTCTTCTGTTAAATGGAGTTATAAATAGTGCTTAACTTACAGAGTTGCTGTGAGAATTAACTAAGCCAATGCATGTAGAATGTTCAGCACAGCACCTGGCTTATCATAGATATTCAATTAATGTTAATTTCCATTTCCTTTTTGTGGACTAAGTTGGGGGGAATGCTTTTAACCATTTACTAATTAGAAGAAAAGATAATGCAGCCTCAGTAGATACACTGTCCACATAAAGGTCAGTTTCTATGGCAATTCTTGTGGCTGGAACTTGGGTTCTTGGCAATGCTGGTTAGCAGTGCTTCTGTGGCACATATCTGAGAAGCTCCTAGATAAGGACCTGTGTCTGCTTACAGGAGCTGGAAGTCTGGTGAGGTGCCCCATGTGGAGGGTGGGGAATGACTCAGGGACTCCGGGCCAGCACAGTCAAGATGAAGAGAGAAGATTGATTTATGCTTCTTCACAATCTGGAACAATGTATGCCAACTTAGCTTTGTCTGTCTCTTGGGCCAGGGCTGCAGGAATTGGCATCCTGACAGTGATCCTGGGAGTTTTACTACTCATTGGCTGCTGGTATTGCAGAAGACGAAGTGGATACAGAACCTTGACGGTTGGTAGAGTTCCCACTGTTGGACCAGATCCAAGGTTTCCTCTTCATTCTTTTCTCTGAATTTCTGGGGACTGGGATGCAGTTCTGTCCATCTCCTCTAGCTCTGATTCCTGCTTCTGCTGAATCTTTCATTCTTCATACGTGTAGCTCTTCCTTTCCCTCTGCCAGGTGTGAATCCCAATGAGGAACTTGCCCTGTCTCATTGGTTATACTCCCAGCAAACTTGAGCACCCATCTGACTGTTGTGTGTAGTTGAGCACTAATGGTTTGTGGGGCCCAGGGGAAGGGCTTGTGGTTTCTTGCACAGCAAACAGCAATGCAGTAGACAACTCAGGACTTACCAACTCTTTGGGCAATTCTTGCTAGTTCTGTTATCTACTTGGTCTGCTCCTCCTGCCTTGCATTTTCACCCCTTTCCTCCCAGGTTACCTGGGAATTACAAGTTCTTGTACCTGTGGTGAACTAAGCAGCTCGGGATATTCACGACCCCTCTAGACATTTGTGTAATGAAAAAACCCTCCTTCCATCAGCAGCACAAAAAATTACTGTTTTTTATTTTTATTTAATTGTTTTTCATTTTATTTGAAAGGCAAACACACACACAAAGAAAGAGAGAGAGAGAGAGAGAGGGAGGGAGAGGGAGGGAGGGAGGGAGAGAGAGAAGCATGGAGCGAGGGAGGGAGGGAGGGAGAAAGAGAGAAAGAACATGCATTTCACCCACCAGTTTATTCCAAATGCCCACAACAGCCAGGGCTGGGCCAGACCTAATCTAGGTGCTGGGAACTCTATCCAGGTCTCTTCTATGAGGAGTCAGAGACCCGAGCACTTGAGCCATCACTGCCTTCCAGGTACACAGGAAGCTGGATTAGAAGCAGAGGAGCTGGGACTTGAACCAGGCACTCTGATACATGTTGTGAGTGTCCCAAGCAGTGACTTCCCCTCTGCTCTAAACACCTGCACTATCACAGGCTCCATCTTCTTCAGGTGGCCAATGTAGTGTTGGTAATGTTCTCCTTTGTCCACATATGCTGCTAATCCAATGATGGTCCAGTCTTCTGGTATCAGGATTTCTCATGAATGGGATGCATCAGTTGAGTCCATAATGCTATAGAGTTCAGGTTTCAGTATCCTTGCTTCAAAGTCAAGTAGCACTTTAGCGCCTGAGCACCCAAAGTCACTGTCCACAGTGAGCAATGGAAGGAAAGGAGAGTTGCAATTTTTCTCTCATTCTCATTACTGATCCAAAAGCTTTTCAAGCTGATGAAAGGTGGGGGAAATGGTCATCTTTGACATGGGTATAAAGTACTGGTCCAAATTCAACAAGTACTGTGGGGAGCAACCCGGACTGGACTGAGTTACTGGAATTAAGACTTATTCTATGCATCTGCTCTCCCACAATATGGCGCTGGGAGAGGAGAAAACAGCTTCTACGCAGCTGCCTCTTGCCAACTTGAGTGATGACCTCCAGGAGCTGATCTTGCTCCTGATTGGAGGAGAGCAGCGTACTCGGCGTGTGGGCAGCTGAGTTGGGATTGGCGGAAGAGGACTATAAAGGAGGAGAGAGACAACATGCACCAGGAACATCTAAGGGGAACATCTAAGAGGAACACCTGTGCAGCCCCCGAGAGAGCCGGCCGGCGGTGTGCCGCTCCCCCGCGGAAGTGGGGAATGTGGCAGGGGGAACCGCCCTTCCACGGAGGTGGAAGGGTCGGTAGCCAACCCGGGAAGAACCAGCAGCAAACCCGGGGAGGGCCGAGCAGACGAAAGAACAGCGCAGGGTCCTGTGTCGTTCCTCCACGAAGACGGGGAGCGACAAGTACTTCAGCGGGGCAGGGGGCAGTTTGCAGGGATTGGTTGGCTGTTGAGGAAAAGTGCTAAGTGAGAAAGGCAACTTTGAGTTCTTTCATTCCTTGGCAGGAAAAGCAAGCAATCTCATGTTACCTCCCTGATGCCTGTCTTTGCCAGAGCATCCCAAATACAAACCATGAAAGGTTGGCCAAATTTGGGGGCTGCCATATCCACTGAGTAGACCTCTGTTGTGTGTCGACATTTGCTGGAAAGGAGGAGAAGTTGCAGAGCCTTGGGTTATAAGGGTAGGAAGGAACTCCTGTACATGATGCCTCTCCCTGGCAGCCCGTAATAAATTAGGAAGGGAGACATTTTGCTGTCTGTCACAAAACTCCATTTGTACCTCTGGCAGGGAGAACACTTTATAATTGGTTTATAATTGGTTACATACTTTTTATCTCTTCTACTCCTTTTCCTCTCATTTATGAACTGGGGCAGAGACTGTTTTTTATCCATCTTTGTATCTCCGATGTATAGGACTATGCCTGGCACAAAGAAGTCATTCAGTCATATGTCATGAGGATTCAGTTTCATTGTATGCCACTGACTTGCTTGGCAAGTTCAGATTTTAACTTTTGCAAGTCTCATTATCTCTATTCTACTCCAAGACATGGTGAAAAACACATGTAATACAAGAATGGATATGAGTTTTTATTTAGCATATATTTTATATTTTACTTTGGCATATAATTGTGTATCAAAACACAATTTAGTTTTTCAAGGAGTCAAAGTTATGGAAACTCATTATGTTGGTACCCATTTCCTAGCAGTCTGCAATTATTAGGTTGATGCTATTGGACAAAAAATACAAGGATTTTTATCCTTTCTGCCTAATGCTCTCAACTTATATTCATTCAACTGAAGAATAACAGAATCTTTATATCGTGTGTTCAGACACTGTGAATATTTTGCTTGGTAAGGTTCAAGTTCAACACTACCATGTTCCCATTCCTCTAGGCCTAGATCAGTGATGTTCAGAGTTCCTGGAATTTTTATGAAACAGAACTGTGTTTAAATTCTCTGGTTTCCCTAGTGCTTCAAAATGCTCTTGGTCATATGTATTTTTCAAAATTAATAGTAAAAATCTTCATTTTGGGACATTCACTATCTCTAGAAAAGCCAGGTTAGAAATCAGTGGCACAAGAAATGTAGGCAAATATATGTAAAATAGTGTATTAATACCAAATTTAATTACATAATGAACTCCCTTTCTCTCTTTGCTGATTCTATTTTCATTTCAAAGCAGAACATAAATGACAGTAACACAGACTCTGGTACTCAACCTTTACCAACCTCTATAAAGCCTTCAGATGTTTACTTTCCACCTTCATTGACCACAGAATGCTAGGGAGTTGATTGGAATTTAGATTTCCTAAAATCTCTCCCCTGGCTAACAATTCCCTTGCATTCTGAAAACATCTTTTTAGAGGAAAAATTGCTTTTTGTTTCTACATCAGGGAGTGGGAATGATATGCAAGGAACTGGATAATGGTGTTTCAGCTTATCAGTTTCCCACCTTCACTTGGAAGCACGATACATTTGATTCTTGAATAAGAATTTCAAAGCCGGCCGGCGCCGTGGCTCAATAGGCTAATCCTCCACCTTGCGGCGCCGGCACACCGGGTTCTAGTCCCGGTCGGGGCGCCGGATTCTGTCCCGGTTGCCCCTCTTCCAGGCCAGCTCTCTGCTATGGTCAGGAGTGCAGTGGAGGATGGCCCAGGTGCTTGGGCCCTGCACCCCATGGGAGACCAGGAAAAGCACCCTGGATCCTTGGCTCCTGCCATCGGATCACGCGCAGTGCGCCGGCTGCAGCGGCGGCCATTGGAGGGTGAACCAACGGCAAAGGAAGACCTTTCTCTCTCTGTCTCTCTCTCTCACTATCCACTCTGCCTGTCAAAAAAAAAAAAAAAAAAGAATTTCAAGGTCTCTGCTAATAACTCTGTTGACACTCTTGTCTCAAGATATTGGGTTTCTTATGCAGGATCAGGCCTATCTGTACTGGAATCACTTGTAATGTATAAATATGCCACAAATTTTTACATGTTGATTTTTATTCTGTAA